GATGGAAAAGGACTTAATATGCTCACACACACACCTTGTTGTTTTGTTTTGGGCTCTTTCTGTCCATTAATTTGACATGCTTCTCCTGGAAAGTGTGTGGATGGGAGAAGCAGTGTTTGCCCACGTGTTCCCTCAGCTCTGCTGACACCTCGGGCAGGAGGGCTGGGGCTGCCTTCAGCAATGCCATCCTGAGCTGATGGGGTCTCTGGGGTCGAGGTGTTAGAGTCTCTTTTTCCCAGCCCTGAGACTGAAGAAGACAGGATTCCTTGGCTCTCCTTCTCAAATATTTATTATTGTTATTATTATTATTTCTTATCTATAAAATTGTTTCTGGCCTGCTGAGGTCTGTCCAGCAGGTCAGACAGAGGCACACTGACCACCTTAGGGCAGTGTTAACTTTTTATACTAAGAACGACGTGTACATTATTTACAATAACTTCCCAATACCCATCACCTATGTTAGACAGTTTGTCTCTACCTTAAACCAATCCAGAAGTGCCACCATCACAGCAGAAGAGGGAGGACAACAAGAAGGAGAAAGCACAGGATATGCCCAGTTTCCTCCATCTTGCCTCCTGAACTCCCATTCTAAAACCCCACAATTCTACATTTGCACCCTGTGGTAAATTCACTATCATTCTATTCAAACATTTGTGGCTTGCAACTCTTCACACAAAGTTGGTAATTGTTTCAATGGGCTAAAATCAAAGGCTCAGGTGTTTGTGACTCCATGCCAAGGTCTCTGAGCCCCCTGCCAGGCTCTGGAGTCCTCCAGGGCGGCCAGAGGAGTGTCCTGGGTTCTGACACTGAGTGACCAAGGGCAATGCACGGCACCAGCAGTGTGTGCAAGCGTGGGGACCCTCCTGGCACCTCTGCAGCACCCTGCAGAACAGCCTCAGGCTCCTTGCATGCTGCAGGCAGGAGCAGGAACCAGTACTGCAGCAGGAAGGATGAATCCCACTGAACTCTCTGTGAGGGGTTTCCTTCTGGTGCAAACTGGTGGGGTCAATCCCCAGGTATTGCCCATACAGATGCTGTCAGGTGCACTGGCAGGGCCTGGCTGTGCCTCTCCCCCTGCCCTGGGCTGGCTGTGTGCTCAGGTTTGCCCTGCCAAGGTTGAGCTCTGCTGCCATGGAGGGCAGGGATGATGTCAGTGGGTAACGTCAGTGCTCTCGGGGAGGAGGGGGGTATCATTCTCACTGCTGAGAGCTTGTATTTGTCACACTGCCAGTCACCTGAGCAGCTGTGGCACGTGCTGGCACGCACGTGAAGGAGGGAGCGTGATGAAGTGTCATTAGAGCAAGGGCTGGCTGATTGGGAGCTCCATCACCAAACATCTGTATCCATGCTGCACTGCTTTACTCAAATCACCCTGACTTACTGCAGACCTCTGAGATTTACCCTCCATATGTTTACTGTGGCCAGCTGGAAAAGCACACATTTTTTACTTGGCCTGTGTTTGTCACTGACATCTTTTATGAAAAATCCTTTCTTTAAGATTTTTCCTCCTGAGAAGATGAGAGGCCTCAAGAACAAAATGTAAACAATGGTTATCTGCTGCTGTGGAATGCCCCAGGTGCATCTGTGATTGGTCTCATGGGGCTGTTTCTAATCAATGGCCAATCACAGTCAGCTGGCTTGGACTCTCTGTCCAAGCCACAAACCTTTGTTATCATTCTTTCTTTTTCTATTCTTAGCCAGCCTTCTGATGAAATCCTTTCTTCTATTCTTTTAGTATAGTTTTAATGTAATGTATATAATAAAATAATAAATCAAACCCTCTGAAACATGGAGTCAGATCCTCATCTCTTCCCTCATCCTCAGACCCCTGTGAACACTGTCATGTGTTGAGCACTAATGAAGTTCTTCCCTTCTAAAAGCATTGTAAGATAAAATTATTACCAGGCAGGGAAACCTCCTTTCCACTTCTCCTGGACCCTTCCTCTCTCTCTCATCCCATTTCTCCTGCTTTCCTTGCAGTTTATGAGCTGGTAAATCACATTCCAGCCCCTGCTTTGCTCTGCACCGAGGCAGTGGTGTGATCCTGTGGAATAAATGTGTGTGATGAGAATGCCTTTAGCAAAGCACACCCTGTGTCCCCCAGCCTTGAGCCCACCCAGCTGATGGGTTTATTATTTATCCTGGTGAGCTCTCCTCAGAGCTGAGACCCTGCCTTCATGCATGTCCCTGAATTACAGCACCAGAGCTGTGAAAGGATTTGAGTTTCAGCGCTGACTGATATGAATAGGTCTGCCTGCAGCTAAAAATAGAAAGCACAGGGCAGGCTTCCAGGCAGAGCTGTAGTAAATCCTAATGCAAGGTGGCTCGGCAGCAGTTCCTGTGGCAAAGCTTCCTCCCAGGAAAGCTGTGGCTTGGGCCCAAACCAATATTAGGAGACAGAGTTTCCTTATGGGAAGAAGCTTGTGAGCTGCAGAGACCAATAGTGAGTTTCAAAGCTTTCTTTTCCCTAGAGCAGGGGTGCCCAGCTCTGCAGGAATGACTCCTTGGCTCCGTGCCTCAGTTTCCCTTCTGCAGGGGACTCTGGGTGCTGCAGGAAATGCATTTTAGCTGCAGGAGATGCATTTTGGCTGCAGTTTTCTCGCTCTCTCTCTCTCACATTTGCAGCAGAGCAGATGTGCAGGACATCCCTGTGAGCTTGCTCTGCTCCACCACCACCCTTTGTGCTCCTATTCCTCCTCCTGCACTGAGGTGTTGGCTCATCCCCTGCTCTCCAGGCCAGCAGGAAGATGCATTCTCTCAGCCCCGAGTGCTGATCCCTGGCCTTGCTGGCAATCAAGTGCTCCCTTCCCCGCAGGACCGTGGCTTTTGGAACTCTGCACATCTCCCTCATCACGGGGAGTTATTTCTCTGTTCATTAGGGCTCATCTGCTGTGACAATCTGCTCCCCCAGAGTCCTGGTGCCATCAGTCATGGCAATGGCTCATCACAGCAGCGCTGGCTCAGCGAGTGGCTCATTGTCCCCGTGCTGGAGCATATGGTCCCCTGCCTCACTGCTGCCCCACACACGGCCCTCTGCACGAGGAGCAGCTGTGCAGAGGCTCCGTGGGGCTCCCGAGGGCCAGCCAAGTGTGACATGCACGAGGAAGAGCACTCAGTGCTGGGCAGAGCAGGGCTGGCTCTCAGGGCAGAAACGCCCCTGGGCTGTGGCAGCAGCAGGACAGGGCTCAGGGACAGGGCTCAGCTGTGTTTGTAGGGAATGGAAGGGCTGCCATCCTTTCATGCCGGGCAGAACACTGCTCCTGCAGCCACCCTTGGTGCAGGGATGGCTGCTCTGCAGGCACTGGCAGGGGGAAGAGCTCTTGGGGCTGTTGCACTGACCACAGAGTGACCCACAGGGCTGGGACCTGCACCTGCAAAGTGCTGAGCTGTTCCAGGGGTGAGAAATCTATGCTGGAGAGGGAAAGTGTGGGATGGGGCTGTGCGAGGCTCTTTGGGATCCTGGATCCTCCCCTGAGGAATAGCATGAGGGGCTTTGGGAGCAGGTGCCTATTCCTGGAGACCTGGGTGGATCAAATCCTGGATTTCCAGGGTCATTCCTGGTGTTGGGATGGGGAGTGGGGCTGTGGGAAGCAGGAACATCCCCTCCCATCTCCATGGATACCTCTGGATGCAGGAACAACCTTTCCCATCCCCATTGATCCTTCTGGATACAGGAATATCCCCTGCCATTCCCATAGATACCTCTGGATGAAAGAACATCCCCTCCCATCCCCATGGATCCTTCTGGATGCAGGAACATCCCCTCCCATCCCCATGGATACCTCTGAAAGCAGGAACATCCCCTCCCATCCCTCTGGAGCTCCCCAAACAGCCCCATCCCCCTGGATAAAACATTCCAGGGCAGCTTCAGGATGAGCCAGGCTGGGAGCTGTCCCATTCCTGCAGAATTCATGGAGAGACCTGGAGACATTTTCTGTGTCCCACCATTTATTCACCATCCCTAAAAGCACCCAGGACAATGCAGGGACACCGGGATGGTGCCAGAGGGGGATGTGGGAATGTGAGAGTGACATTATGGATGCTTCAGGACCTGACTCAAGAATTTCCATCAGGAATTTGGGCTGGGTCAGAGCTTGGCTCATCCCCTACAATCGACCCGAGTGGGTCCCCTCATCCCAAACCCATCCCATAGATCCGGGAAGAGGGAGGTAAATGCTCCAGCCCCGTTTCCCAGTAAAAACCAAACCAAACCAACAAACAAACAAACAACTCCAAAAACCCCCAAAACCAAAAATCAACACCAGGAATAAATCCTGAGGGCAAAATCCCTCCCAGCTCTCCCATCCCTGTGGATGGGGAATGGGCGTTTTCCGGGAATGCCCGCAGGGCACGGGGATGACCTGGCCGGGCCGTGCCACTCTCCGGAGTGTCCCCAGCTCCTCCCGCAGCTGCCCATGGCCATTGTCACCCTCCCGTGCCCACCAGCGGCGGTGCCATCAGCGCAATTAACACTCAGAGGCTAATTACTCTCTGGATTCTGTCTGCCGGTCCCTGACCAGCTCTGCCCCTCTGCTTTCCATGCAAATGAACTCGTTATGGTGCCCTCATTAGCCAGGCAAAATTCCAGGGAAATCGGGCACGGGAAATCCCAAAGCACCCAAAGCATGGGGTTGGCACATCCCCAGTTCTGAACGCACCGCCTGGATTTGGGGGAATTCCTGGGAATGTCCGAGAGTTTCGCTTGGCCAAAATCGGCTCAGGGAGTGAGGGGGACACGGGTGACATTGGTGCCACCACAGCCGAGCGGGACATTGGACAAAGGGGACAACGCCCGGCTGCGGGGGGAGGGAATCACCCTCGGAGGGGATGGGATCCAGCTGGATCCCGTTATCCCGAGTGGATTCCCCAGCTGGATCCCGTTATCCCGAGTGGATTCCCCAGCTGGATCCCGTTATCCCGGCAGGGAAAGCCCCCGGGATGCTCCCATAAAAAGCTCCCGCGCAGCCCCTTTGCCATGCGCTGCCTTTCCTGGGGTCAGGATGGGGTTCGGGAGCCGCTTTGGGGTCGCTCTGCTCTGCTGGGTGTTGGCTCTGGCCGCATCCTCCGATCCCTGGGGTTTTCCCTGGCGGAGCTCCGGGATGTGGCGGCTGCGGGGTGACTCCCCCCGCTCGCAGGCGTGGGCTCGGGTGGATCTGTCGCAGCTGCGGGCGCTGTCCCCGCGGCCTGCGGTGGCCGTGCGCTGCCAGGAGGGACAGCTGGCGGTCACCGTGCGCAGGGACCTCTTTGGCACCGGGCGCCCGGTGCGGGCGGCGGAGCTGAGCCTGGGCACGGCCTCCTGCCCACCCCTGTCCCCGAACCCTGCCCAGGCCTTTGTCACCTTCGTGGCCGCGCTGCACAAGTGTGGCAGCACCCTGCAGGTGAGTGGTACCAGGGTCAGGTGAGGATGTCAGCCTCAGGATGTGCCCTGGTGCAGGTGTTGGCGGGTTTGGGGTGAGGAGTGCCTGGACAAGCAATGGATTTTGGAGTGTGGTTATCCTGGATGAGGTGCACGCTCAGTCGTGGGTTTGGGATTGGATGCAGGAACTGATGGGATAATGGTCCTGAGGTGCTGTGCCCAAATCCCTCCTTCATGCCGGTGCCTTGTTGGGCTGCCAGCACAAAGCTCCGTGGTGTCCTGTAGGATTGGGAAAGTGGCCTCTGTCCTGGCACAGTCCCTGCTGGTGCCAAGTTCGTTTTCCTGATTTTCCCCCTCTCCCCAATCCTCCTTCCAGGTGACCCCGGACTCCCTGATCTACAGAACCACCCTGTTCTACAAACCCACCCGTTCTGGCAACCCTCTTATCGTGAGGGCCACCCCTGCCGAGGTCCCCATTGAGTGTCACTACCCCAGGTGAGTGCTGGCGGCTGTCCCCGCCCTGCCACGGCCTCGAGGCGCCGGTGCTAGCCCAGGCAATTCCCATCGCTTCCCTTTAGGAGGAGCAACGTGAGCAGCGGTGCCGTGCAGCCCACCTGGGCCCCGTTCCGCTCCACGGTGGCGGCGGAGGAGCGGCTCCGGTTCTCCCTGCGCATCATGGACGGTGGGTGCAGCCTTGGTGGCCTCGTGTCCCTCAGCTCCCCTTCCCTGGTGGCTCCTGGGGACACCCTGGGAGCCCCAATGGAGCCAAATCCATCACACACTCCTCAAAGAGGTTCCACACTCCCCAAAGTGACCCCGTTCCTTGGGCTCTGCATTCCAGACGACTGGAGCAGGGAGAGGCTCTCCAATGGCTTCCAGCTTGGGGACAGCCTCCGTTTGCAGGCCGATGTCACCTCGGAGGGCCATGTGCCCCTGCGGCTCTTCGTGGATCGCTGCGTGGCCACCGCCAGCCCCGAGCGGAGCTCGAACCCC